TAAACAAATTAAATTTTTTTGTTATTTATTTTTTTTTAACGAAACGTAGTTATTATAATTTTGATTAATAATAATAATAATAATTACTCACGCAACAGGAAAGCGATTTATAAAAATTTATCTCGTAGAAATTATTTTATTCATGGAAGTTTAAATGTATGTGTTTGATATACACATTCGCGTACGATTTGTTTGAACTGAAATCATATAAAGAACTGAATTGAATGATCGGTTATCAAAAGACAAGGCAGAGTTTGTGCGGTACCCCGACGCGATTACAAATATTATATGTTTAGCTTATGACGATAAGGAATCGATTCGGGAAAATTTTTTTTTTTTCTCTCTTTTTCCCCCCTGTCATATATATATATTGTCATTTAAGATGCCTGATTTTTTTTTTTTTTTTTTGCAAATTGACTTTAACGTGCCTGATGACGTCATAGGTTTGGGTAAATACATTTTTTTTTTTTTTTATTGATTGGAAAGTATTTTTAATATTTAAATTTGTAAACACGAGTAGAAATGAAAAAAGAAATTTTCTTTTTTTATTTTCATTTTCCCTAAGGTTATAGTTATTTTCCATGGGCAAATTGGAAAGGGGGGAAAAAAAAAAGCTTTTTGAAGTTGTGTCTTATGTGTGTGTATATCAAACCTTCAAATGTAAACATTTCAGGTCTTAAGGGCAAATATCCTAATTTAGTTTAAGGTATGTAAAAAAAAAAAAAAAAAAAAAAACCTTCCTTGAACTCTTTTTCTCTCTCTCTCTCTCGAGTACGTTTGAATTAATCGAAAAAATTACGTAGGTTGTATATTTGTCACATAAACGTATTAATTTTTCCCCCCTCCCCCCCGTGTACGGGATGTGTGTGTGTGCACGTGTGCACGTGTGCACGTGCGTGTGCTAAATCTTTTCTAGTAAAAAAAAAATTTTTTTAAATATTTAATTAATTCCTAAAGAAGAGATACGTGAGAAAATTATTTACGTCAAACATTCAAAAATGAATTCATTCATTCATTCACTCTCTCAATCATTCTTTTATTCGTCCCATAACCAAATATTATTATTATTATTATTATTATTATTATTATTTTCTTTGAATTTAACCTAAAACAATCAATTAGTATATATATTGCTTTAAAACAAATTTCGTTTGAAATTATGAAATGATTTGGTGTTCACAATATATACCGCAATTAAAAAAATTTTTAATTTTTCAACGACACGATCTCCTCGTGTTTATGTTTTTGGATTTAAAAAACACAAACATAAACATAAACATAAATGCAAACGTAAACTTTGAAATTAAAAAAAAAATTATATTTTACAGTTATAAGTAGTGTGTATCAATTACGATATCCGCCATTTTAGTTTTAATTTTTATTTATTTACTTATCATACAACCTGTCATATTCATTATAGTTTGACAATAAAATTCAACCTTAAACTTATTCAAGGTTTTCATTTTGTTTTTGTTTATAATAAAACTTGATTTTAATTAATTTAAATTAAAAAAATCGATTCAATAAATAAAAATTGAACAACAACAACAACGACAAACGACAACGGAAATAATGTAGTAACGACAAACAACATTTTAATGTGTTAAATAATTTTTAATTTTTTTTTTTTTCTATTCTTGACCTTACCCAAAAAGAAATTTTTTTTTTTAAAGATGGCGGATGATTAAAAAAACAATTGGTTTGCACACGCACACGCACACGCACATGCACGCACACATG